TTTATGTGCCACATCCGGTCCTGAATGCTGTGTGCCGTCAGCTGGAGCCACACTGAAGCTCCAAATCCGTGCAGCAGACCCTTGATAAGTCATGCAACAGCCAATGACGTAAAGGTTTGAACCCGAGCTCGGGCTTGGCGTGATCTCTGCCTGTTGTTGTTTCCGGAACCTCGCGGAACAGAAGGAGCTTTACAAGTTAATGCTGTCAACGACAAGATGCAAACGCAGCACCTTGCCCCTGACCCAAGCTTGACGCGCACGTTGCATTCGCACCTATCCTCTATAAGACCGAAACCCTGATTGCTGTAGTAGCGCAGTCCGAGCATCACCACCCCCGATCACCTCTCCGTTGGCATCGCGGAGCACTCCCGGATCGAATCTGCGCTTCCTGTCGGCAGGACTTTGTGGCCGACAGCATAGACTGGGAAGGGATCCTTCATGAAGGGGCCATAATGAGACCCCCATAGTATCCAGACGTATAGGCTTGATCCTGAAGGTGGCTTTGTAGCAGGATTTACTGCCGAACCAGCCAACCTCGATCGCCCCAAGCCGCAGACACTTTTTTGGGGGATCAAGAAAGCCCCAATATGTTCTGGACTTTGGATCAGAAGCCCGGCATCGGGAGCACGTAGAGTTAAAGAAAAACAGGACGCCTCAAACACTGACACCTTATGCAAAACAAGTTGCTCTAAACCTTGGTGGCATCTGGTTGCGCAGTATGAGCCCGTGACCCTCACGAGGATATCATTACCCGTTGCCGCCTCCCATCCGAGAGCTTCATTGCCGAAGATGAGCTGCCTTGGTTCGGGCGTTTACACGTTGCGTCAGTGACAGTAGGCTTTTTCTACGGTCTGCACGGTCTACGTCTCTGGTTTTGTTCGACTGGCGCCAGGTATCGTTAGGGTCCGTTTGGGTTTCGACTTTCACGCTCGCACAAGGCCGGCAAGGCTCCGCGGGTTCAGGATTGCGGTTTCTCAATTTAAAGTCTTTCAAGTCTGAGACTCTGAGAAGCATTTTTATTGGCCTGGAAAGATCAGCTTCGGATATAGGCTGGAAAGCTTGCAGGCAAGCTTGGAATAGGGGTAGCTCGCTGTACACCGTGAGGGCAATTTCCAAAATAGTCCCACTACATCTACATCTACAACTACTACAGCCGCTACTGTTACTGCTACTGCTACCGCTACTACTACTGCTACTGCTACTGCTACTGCGACTGCTACTGCTACTGCTACTGCTACTGCTACCGCTACTGCTACTGCGACTGCTACTGGTACTGCTACTGCTGCTACTACTACTACTACTACCACCACCACTACCACTATCACTACCACCACCGCCACCACCACCACCACCACCGCCACCACCACCACCACCACCACCACCACTACCACGAATGCTGCTACCAGTGCTACTCTTGTCACTGCTGCTGCTGGTGCTACCAGCACGACCACCACAACTAAAATCCATACCACTCTCTGACTGCCACGACGACTGCAACTGCTCCTCCACCCTTTACTACGGCAGCTGCTACTGCAGCAGTACGTAGAACCACTGCTCTGGCGACTGCTGCTACCGCTGCTACTGCTACTGCTGCTCCAGCTTCATTCCGACAAATAACCCCACAACAAGTTCTTGAGCTGCGGGCTCTTTGACACGATTCCTTGCGTGGAGCCGGCGGAGGGTGTAGATGCCGCTCCCTGGTGGTCCTCGTCTGCCTGTACCAGAGTTGAAGCTTTGGGGTTCAGGGCGTGTGTTGTCAGGCTTGAGGTAAGTGGGACAGGCTTTCCCGTAATCTCCGTCATATTCCAGGCTTGATGCCGTTTAGTAGATTTACCGGAGCAAGCGTCCAGTTGTCGGGGTCGCGAACCCAGAAGAACTTAACGTCGCAAAAGAAGCCTCGAGTTTCCCATAGCATTTGGCCCGATGCATGCGAAAGCAGTCTGCATTTGTTGCCTTCGTCGTGCCTGCACACATATGTAAAGATCTTGCGTCTGTTCGAGGACGAAACTGTGCAGCCTGACCTTTCACCGTAGAGCAACCATAAAAATGGACATGTGCACATGTATCCTGAAACGCTGAGGCCCCCTCTGTTGTGAACCCGAACGCTGCAAGATCCGATTAATGTGAAAATCCTATACCTTCGTCTGAACACAAGCGAACCACCCTGATTAGCAATGCTCTTCCCTCCTTCAAACTATACCGAATATGACTATGCCTCAGAGAGCATATTATGCAAAAAGCATCTGCAAGAAATCCCGAAAACTAACCCGAGTCACAACTAAGCTGGTAGCTCCGGACCTAGCTCCCAAGACTAACCACCATCGCCTGGCTTTCCCCGGTGGTGGTTTCTTCCATCCACTCCTGGACTCTGGAGACAACCCAGGAATGGCCGGTGTGCGGTCAAGGCTTTAGCGCTCGGAGTGTTGAGCTTTGTGCTATGTCGGCCGAGCTGCGCAAGGTGCTAAAAGCGGAGAAGTATTTGCGAAATGTTTTCACACCACGAGCGTGAGGCGCGGACTTAGTGGGGAGGAGAAGCCGGAACAGCATCAGTGGGAAAAGCAAGGGTGGGTGGAAGTCATGACGTTGTCGGCATCGCTGTCGTTGCGTTGAGACCAGTAGTCACCCTACACCCCCTGAACAGCTTCTTCGATGAGGCTCGCACATGGTGTCTTGCCAGGGCTACCGGTTCCGACACTTAATTAATTACCTTTCTATATGAGTAGGCGAGGGCTTAACCACGTCATGGACACTTTTAACAGAGGGCTGTCGAGGTCTATCTTATCTAGGATTTCGGAACACAGAGATTCAAATAAGTTTCTACCACCATGGTAGACTAGATGCCTTTATCTTCTGGACAAGGATTGACAAGAAAAGGTATCTACGAGGGTTTGGTTTCCTTTAAGCACTGGAGTTTGCATTTTGATTCACCTGCTTCCGTACGCCTCGAGACATCCTGGATAAGGGCTTCATGTTTAGGATGCAGGCTCGGAGGTCAAGCTTCTACAGCTATTTGCTACCAGGAACCTGACTCGCAAAGCCAACGCCAAATGAACCTCATTGCATGCTTCATGAGGCGATGCCCCGCACCCCGCACCTCAACCATCCTCCATCCCGCAGCCCATGGAATCTCAAGATGCTGAACATCGAATCCCACACCATGCCTAGGTCTGACCTTTTCTGACTACTACTCATTTCAATCCTGAAACATACCACATACCCCGGTCTTAAGGCTATAGATCCTCAACCCGTCACCATGAAGATCCGAAAAGCAAACTCAGCGCAGAGGCAGTTGGTCCTGAAACTCTATAGATAAACCGCGCACTACTGCGTGTCTCTGTGACTGAACATTTCGGGAACAGTCTTCCTTATGGCTATCTGGTATCTTTTCATGTGAAGTGCACCAATAAATACTCGTGTAGGCCGCCAAAAATCCACCGCATTTCTCCACTCTGCCACCCTTGAGGCGGCGGCTGCAGTGGCAAAGCCCTTCGACCGGAGGGCCACGCGACCTGACAGCAAGAAACACTTCGCCCAAAGCCGCGAAATTTGTCTGTAGTTCAGGGTCGAAGCTCTTTGACTGCAGGCTTCCAGGTTTTGGATTTCAGGGTTGAGATAAACGTGTCGCAGAGACTACGCAACTCGAAATCACTCCTAAATATTCGTGCGTGTGTATATGTACAGTATGTACAGTCTGTATGTATGTATGTATGTATGTATGTACAGTAGGTATGTGTGTATGTGTGTATGTGTGCATGTATGTGTGTATAGGTGTGTCAGTGTGTGTATATATAGATATATACACATATTTATCAGTACATATACACATACACACACACACACAAACCGAAACACTAACCACAAACACCAAGGGCTGAGGCCTGATTCATAGAGAAGCCTGATCAGCCCCTTGGCAGCACGTCTTTCGAGTTAAGACTTTAAACCTCGATTTGTGAAACCCCAAATCCACTGTTCTCCAACTCTTCAATTTTACCAAGATGTGCAAACAAAGGTGTACAAAGTCTACGGAGGTCCACAGTCTAGCAACCATCCCGGCTCCTTTGCCGAAGCCAAGATCTGGCCGGAAGCTCCTAGGACCAACTCCCAAGGCTTTCAACTCCAACTCTTATAGATCGCCAACCCCTAAAAAGCAAAAACCTTAAAGCCCAAATACCCGGAAGCTTGTCAGTCAAGGCTCCGCGCACATCCCTTGAAGTTTGGTATAGGGGGCACGTCATTTCACTACAGTATAGAGGGCGTTTCTAAGTCTCTTTGAGGACTTTAATCCTCAGGGCCTCGGCCCAGCGCGTGAAACTCCGGGCGGCGGCTGGAGCCGGCCTGGTTTGGTCGCAATATGGGGAGGTCCTGAAAATAAGGGGGGTACCGAATTTTTGGGGTCCTGTAGAATAAGGATCCTACTATCTAGGGTACTATAGTAGGGTCCCCTATTTTCGGAAACCCCCATATTGTTTCAGAAAACCTGTAACCTGTGTATTTTATGGTTCTAGGGCATTCTAGGGCCGAAGATAAGGTGTAAAGGTAAGGTGGTCAACAACAGGCTTTATTCGTACTGCCTTTTACTGGCCTGCCCTGGCCTGCCTAGCCTTTACTTTACGGCTCTTTACAAGGTTGGGGTTTTAACGCTTTAGGGGTTTAGGTTTTAAGCTTGGCTTGTGCCTTGAAGGTCTCGGGTGTGTATGTATGT